GAGTATCCGGTTTTTATAATGCCCCTGCCATACTACAATTAGGATAGCTTTCTCTTCTAGGGTGCCTCTCATCTCAAACCAGGATGGGAATAATAGTCCATCCAGGGTGGCACGTGATGGCAGACTATATTCACCCAGGGAGAAACCCGTTTGCTGCCGCTGCCTGGTTGGGGAGCGTCCTGGATGTTTAATCACAGCTTAAATTGGGTTGACTCAAAGACTCAGCAAAAACCAGAGGCTGCTCCAAGCCTGGCCGAAAGCCAGCAAGGAGATATTATTAATATTGCATTTGCACCGGCTGCCCGAGCCCCACGTCTCTGCTGCAAACTAATGACATCCCACCGTTGGGAGATGATATTCCCAGCCCTCCACCGAGACCCCTCAAAGCCCGGTCTTTAACGACTACAAAATGCCTGGACCCCATTTTTAAACCTCATCTTAAAGACGGCAGAAGGAGAAGACAATAAGCTGGATCGAGAAGACTGGGGGGTTTATTTTTTTTCTGATGACCTGCCTATCGAAGCACTTTTTGGCAGTTTTTCTTGAGAAGTTTGTAAAGCTCTACTTTCTTCCTTTTCAATGTGAAAAACGCTACCAGCAGCACTTGTCCCCGTGCTCCGGGGCTAGCGGGTGCGCCGCGGCACCGAGACACTCGCCCCATTACACAGAAACCTCGTTTCGAAAACCCAGGAGAGAAGCGAAAATAACATAAAGAGGAGACGGGTAATTCTGGCCCGAATCCATGCAGGCGAGCCCTCGAACAGCACTGCCCTGCCCGTCGACCGCGGAAGAAAGTTACCTCAATTCGGTTTTGTGGATCTCGGCGATTTTCCTTTCCAGCTTTTCTGAATGTTTCGGGAAGAACTGGAACTTGGAACTGTAGCCTTCTGGGTGCTTCCCGGGGTCGTAATCCCCAATCTCCGCTGGGAAAGGCAAGAAAAATTCACGATGAAATAATAACCTTCCCACGTTTGAAATGATATACTTTCTGGAGATATTATTATAGTTCACACAGCAAAATGCTGCATGCAGTGTTACGGCTCTAGCTGCAAGGGCAGCCCAAATCCAAATCCCTGCGGCCGCGGGCTGTTGGGCACGTCCCAGTCTAGTGCCTGGGAGACGGGTGCCCACGTCACAAAAAACACCGACGGGGGCAATGAATGAACGGGCACAAAGAATGAATGAACCCATCACCTCTGGCCAGAGCTAAGGTCTGGAGGAGTTTGGTAGCCAGGACGGTCAAGAGGGAAGGGTTTAGGGTGGGACCTTTTGCTGGGCCAGCCGTGTAGCTGGAAGAGAAGTTGGGCAAACTTTTGGGCACGAAGAAGGGCACTCTGTGCAGCTGGAACATCTCTTCCAACTATACAGCTGGGCCCATAAAATATATCACCCCGACGCTCTGGCTCCTCACGTATTCTCCTGGCGAGACAGGCACAGAAACCTGATGCCCGTTCTTAACAGCCAGGAAAAAAAAAATGCAAGAAAAAAGATCATCAATGAATTTCACACTCTCTGCTTGGGAATCGTTTTCCCGCAGATGGTCGCTGTCTCTGACTTATTACTGCTTCGAAGTCGTTTGCTCTGAGCCGTTCGTGGCCCGCAGCCCCGGGAAGCAGGTCACCGGGAGTATTCACGGGGAGAGGCCATGCGGCCGTGCGGTCTGCACGGGCAAAAGGTGCAAAACCCGTGCAAAACCTCAGCGTTGGAAATCCAGCGGCCCTTTCTGGGAGATTTCTGAAGCATTCATTGAACGCTCGCTATTTAGGGGAAGAG